GTATATTGTCCTTGGTCAGTTCAGTGTATGACCCCCTGGGGTTCGCCAGTCCTTTCGTATTACCTGCTTAAGTTATCCTGCAAGACTTGTACTGTTGTGGATTGAAATGGGACGGGGTGGTCCTTGACAAACACTTGGAGAACTGGCAACAGTGGCTTTGTGATCTTCCACGATTGGAAGAATTTTCTGTTAATCGCTGTTGTACTTCTTATGGGTTTAGAGATGCTAGCAGTTGTGAACTCCACCACTTCTTGACGCTTCGCAAGTTGGTTACGGTGCAGTCACTTATCTTCGCTTAGTCAACAAATCAAGTCATATTCATTGTACCTTTGTGATGCCCAAGGCAAGGGTCGTCCCTCTGAACAGGATTACTATACCTCGATTGGAACTAATATTCCGCTGCCATGGTCTCTGTCAGACTTGATAAGATGACCAAACGAGAGTTAGAACTAGCGATCGTTTTTCTGGACAGATAGTACGTCCGTGCTGAAGTATGTAGCAAACAGTCACACAAGGTTCCACACGTTCCACACGAACAGGTTGTCTCAGATTCATGACTGTTCTTCTCCTTCTCAATGGAGATATGTACCGTCCAAATTAAACCCAGCCGATGATGCGTCGAGGGGTCTCAAAGTTGATGAGCTGCTTACAAACAGCAGTTTGAAGGTGAGTACACCCTTTCTGTGGCAGTCAGAAGACAAATGGCCAAGTTATCCTGGTGTGGAAGAGCTCTCTGAAGACGATCCTGAAGACAAGAAAGATGCGAAGTATCACTTAAAATTAAAATGTGAAAAAATAAGAAAAGACTACAAAATCTTCTACAATTTTTAAAGTCTTTCTGATTTTTAAACATCCCTAAGCTGAATTTCTAATTTGCATAACTTAGAATTTCTAGGAATTCCAAGCCCAGTTGGCCTGAATTTTTCTATTCCAAGAAATTCTCAACAATTCTTAAGCTTCTAAAATTGTAAACTTAGAATTCCTAGGAATTCCAAGCCTAGAGTGAGACCTAATTTGCCATTCCCAAAAATTCTCAAGAATTCCAAGCTTATTTGATGAAGGCTGATTTGCATAGTTGGGAATTTTTGGGAATTCCTAGGAATTCCCAGAAAGCTGGGAATTCATTTCGCAAGGGATTGGTGGTGTACTCACTGATGGTGATGCTGTACAAGTTGACCAGTTGTTAGAGAGATTCTCGTCTTGGCACAGCCTTAAGAAGTTTGTTGCATGGTTCCTAAGATAACATATAGATTTAGCCAGGGCTAAAAGCGAAGCTCCAGTTAATAAATTTATAATTTAAATCAAACAATAAACTTTTAATCCACAAATCAGTTAACTTAAGGGCACATGCATGTGACTTTTGAGGGAAAGGCTAAGTTATTTTAGAGTGAAACATCGTACATCGAATTGATAACCTTATATGTACACCCGAAAAATAGCAAACATCTTCGATCACATTCAAGATCACAGTAGATTAGGCCTCGAAAACAAATTCTTGGAAAACAAAATCACGCCGAATTTTTTTCCGTTCAACAGGTTACTTTGCAAATTCTTGCCAACAAATCTGGGAGTGTTTAACCCAACCTTTTATAATTTTTATACATCACATTTGAGGTGAAACAATACTATTTATCATACAGACTTCGGAGAGAATACGGTATTTCACAATTTTTCAAGACAAATTGCACTCAGTCAATTTTCAGGCCGATCACTCGTGGGCTTCAAGCGAAACCGTTCAAAAATTTCCAAAATCACCCATACGGCCAGCTGGTTCTCGTTTTTATAGTGCGAGCTGTCAGTGTCGTCGAGTGTTTGAATGAACTTTAATAGAGTTACGCTTCAACATAATAGCGAGTTTATTATTATTTTTTTTGTTAGTTAATGGTTTCAGTTATAATGATGTGTAATCTTATAAAGCATTTGATACGCACGTCGACATTTTTTAGTATTCCTGCAAGCGACTTTCACGAACGATGAAAACAAACAGCACAGACAAGTGATTAAAATTGCAAGAGAGACTACTAACAATCAAAAAAACAAATATAATTTGGTGAAACATTTACACAGACAACAATTTTCATTTATGAAGACAAGTATTAAAGTGTCTCTAAAACTCCTGAGCCTTTAAGCATAAAGCTTAAGCCGGCTTCCCGGCGCGGTGTTTATTGTTTTCGAAGGTGAACTCCTCCAAGCAAGAAAATCGCTCGAAGTTTTCTCCCTACAGCCAAATTTATAACTAAATATTCTTCAGAACGTTCTCTTTCTGTTTGTGGTGAGCAAATATATCTGAAGGCTTTTTAAAGTTCTGTAAGCTTATATCAAAGCTGATAATAGCTCAGATCATTGACTCAAATCCTACAAACGTGCATAAACTTGCCGCATAAACTGTCAGCGTGAACTGTGCAAGACTTCATGAAATTAGATATAAGAAAAACAAACATCAAATACAATAATTACTCAGGCTTACCATTCGAGATTTAGTTCCTGAAAGCTATCAAGGAAGGCCACAGTTGCTTGAGACTTTTAAACCCTCTTACGCATTAAGCAAGGTGACAAACGAAAACGATGCCATCCAAAAACGAATTACCGAATTTTGACAAGCGATGCATTTCTCAACCAAAAACCCAGTAAACAAACCAGCCATGAATAACAGAAGACTCTTGATAGCAGCTGTATTTCATTTTGTACATCCAGAGGAAAAAGACAGTTAAAAACATCACAAGTTGACACAAAACTCTATCAGCTTCAGCTGTCAAAGTAAACAACTTTCAAGATGCTGCATAATTTGTCCGCATGAACTCACCTGACAAATTTTGACCAATCAGAGAATAAAAATTGGATGTAGAGCCTGCCTGAATTTTCGCTTCCGAGGCCAGTTTGAAGCCAAAATCCTAACAGTGCGGGGCCATAGTGACAACACAATAAACACAACATATTTGATATGAATCCTTGGAAAAAATAAACTTGAGCCTGCGATCATTTGAAACTGGTAATTTGTCAGCGGATAAAAAAATATTCGACCTCGATGGGTCGACACTTGAGCCCGCGGTACGGTCAGGTGATACTGGTCAGCGGATGCCCTGTTTTGACAGCTGTCAATTGATCACAACATTGATGTGCAATTAGTTTTCTCTTGGGTTCCCAAAACTTGCTAAAAGTGTGAGTAAACATTGGTTTTCCTGTGGTCCGGACGGACGGTCGGGCGGTCAGTGTACGGTCACGTGATTACCAAATTTTCTGGGATGGGTAGATTACCTTAGCTATGGGGCTCCACCCACACGCGCGCGCGAAGCTCCGCTTTAAGACAAGCCTTCACAAGTTCTGTGCTCGAGACAAGGAGAAGCCAGTGATAGCGGCTGTAAAGTCTAGTATTGAGTCGATTAGCGTGCCAGAAATGAGAGAGGCTGAATGAAGTATCATTAACTATGTTCAAGAGAAGCACTTCAGGGAGGAGATTGAAAGCCTTAAGAGAAATCAGGATATTGTAACTGTGATTCCAAGTCAAAGGTTCAGTTAAGAGAGGTAGCAGCATATTTGGTTTAGACCTCGTTCTGGTGGACGGAATTCTGGTTGTTGGTGGACAGTTGCGGCAGGCTTCGCTGCCTGAACATGTCAAACATCAAATCATTTTGCCTAAAGACCACCACGTTACAGCCTTGAGAGTGCGGCACTATCATTTTGCACCCGGTCATTTGGGGAGAAAGTATGTTATAAATTTGTAAATTGTAATTTGTTTAGCCACGGAACACTAAGGAGTTCATAAAAACCCGTTGAAACGTGTCAGTGTGTTCCAGATCGAACTGGAATTTGAAAGTGTTGGTTTTTTTAAGGAGAGGGGAAAACTGGAGTACCTGGCAAAAAACCTCTCGGAGCAAGGGAGAAAACCAACGTACAGCAAACTCAACACATATATATGGCGTCGACGCCAGGATTCAACAAAGTCCACAAAGTCGATTCGATCCACGCAGAAAGTTGATTCGATTCATCCAACTCAGCGTATTACACAGGTCCCAAGTTCATCTTTTCAAACATCAACGATCCAACAACAGTGTTTTTATACTTCCCAAACGTTGTGACGCTATTTTGAACATACAGAATATTAGAAACCAGGCGTTAAGATTACAGTCAACTCCCAGGTAAATCAAACATTCAAGGTTCAAGTTATCTAGGGCAAATTTTTATAGGAATGATCTGAAGGAAAACAAAAATTACTTCGAGTTAGCGTGGACTTTGAGGGTGTGTATATGTGATAATACAGAGTAGCGACCAGAACATAGATGAAAGTATTTTCAGATCTATTTGCATAAATTATAGTGAGAGCATCGTGTGTTAATTTCACTGCACATTGCGGATCAATTAACTTCACAGTGGTCTTGGAGGACGCCAAATATCGTTGACATCTGGATTGGCCCAGAGAGTACAGTTACAAATCCTAAAGTCGATCGACACATGAAAGGACCTAACCTAACATTGCTCTTTGAACCCAGGCCTTTTCAAACGATCTTTTCCGCATGCGGTAGGCCTGTGCATTTTAAGTATTCGTGCGGTTGATATATCTCGGGATAATGCGAGCATATTACTTTCACTTTATTTTTCATGGACAAAAAGCTCGTTAGACTACGTTAGAATTAAATACATGGAAGGACGCTTTGTTTTATAAAATGTTATTGAGTCAGATAAATACGGCACATCAGAAATACCGTACTTTAGAGAATCAAACTTTACTTACCTCTCAGAAAACATGCACGAGTCCGAACCGTTTAATCTTAAGAAATAATCATTAGTTATCACCTATTTAAACGAATGAAAGAAACTAACAAATCAAGTTTAAGATGAATTAATGTGATCCGATCGTTTGTTCAAAGGCTGAAACGTTAAATGGAACCCTCATTCGATCATTGATGACCGTACAACTCGAAAAACTCGATCTCAATAAGGACAACTCAAAAATCTATTACTTATCCACGCGAGCGAGCAACCAGAATGGCCGACAACTGTATATGTTGCAAAAACCAGTAAGAAAAAGACAGCAATGCATCCAGTGCAATGGCTGCCTGAAATGGAACCATCGGTCATGTAATAGTGGTGAGTAACAACTAAACTTATTTTTCCTAAGATAAGAAACAGTGTTTATTGACATCTGAATTCATGCAAACAGCAAATTGATGATGACTGAGTTGCAATTGACTATTGATAGTTTCAACACTTTGGACTCATTTTACTCGTGCATATGTCTTCTCAGCTGTTACATATGCCTGATTTCTCACAGGTATTTCTCAAGAAGACTATCGTGCAGCTGTAAGGGCCAGAGCAGATATCATTTTGTTTTGTCCGTCCTGCAGCCGTCCTGATGTTGATCCAGTAGCTGAGAGCATCAGAGTCGCAGAGTCAGAGACTGACATTTTGGAATCAGAAGAATCCTACCCTCCCTAGACCGTCAAGTTATTCTGACTTCTTTGAGTCCACTGTATATGATCCCCCAGCCCAGCCAGCCCTCGATGAATCTACCATACACGATCCTACAGTGCGACCTATGGTAAGATCTATTTCATTGCATCATCACACAAAGATAATTAAATTCCATTTAACAAAACTTGCTAGATAAGTCGAGCTCCAAAAAGAACCTATTCCAAAAGCTAACGTAAAGTACTCACTGATAACTATAACAACAAGGTTACAGCCCCTGTCTTACACTTTTTATTACTTGTAATAGGAAGTAATAGGAATCGTTTTGGACTGTTTTCTGAAATCCAGGCCCTAAAATTCTCCAGTTGATCGCTTTTTTAGGGATATGTCTGTTTAAAACCCGCAAAATTAAGTACCAAAAAGTTGTTCGCTTTTGTCCTTTTTTTCGTAATATAGGAATAGGGATTCGGTTAACAGTGAGGTCGAGGGCAGCCAAATGCCCCTCCCCTACCATCCACGGTGCTAGTGCCGAATCTTCGCTCGACGATCCATCTGTACACCAACACCAAGACCAGCATCAACTCAATGATGACCGGTGACGTACCAAATCGTCGACAACGAAACTAAAAGGAGGCAGCAGAAGCTCGTTGACAGCAGAGGATATACCTTCATCATTGTCGAGGCGATGCTGTTGACTGGCAGTATTCGGTCAGGCCCAAGTTGAATCCGTGTAGAGCGAAAGTAAAAAAACGTGGTAAGAGTTTCAAAGCAGGACCTAGTGGACGCAACCATCCAGCGCATGTGGGGTCCACTATTGCCGCGAAAGTGATTTCCATTGTAAAATCCAAGTTCAAGAAAGACATCTTTAGACCAGTTCCAGCAATTGTTCATCAGGTAAGCTATGATAAAATGTAAACCATATGTTGAAGTCAGTCAATCCATGATATTTGATAAATCATAAAATATCAGTATACTGCAGTCCTTTATCTTTTGTTCCCCACAGAATTTAATCGTCAAATTGAATATAGACAGTCATTTAAATATTCTTTTTGTTTCTTATAGGTTTATTTGGAAGAAATAAGTAATGCCCCCCTGCCCTGGTCTTCCCCAGCCCGATTAGCTTGCCAGACAAGCAAATCGCTTACGACTAAAGCTCCAACCAGATGACCCTAAAGACCTGGACTTCGACCTTGAAGAAGAGCACATCCCCACTGGTTTTCTGTGGTCAGATCTAGGAGCTCATAGTCGGCATCACCTGATTTTTGCCACGGATGAGCAGCTACATCACCAAGCCCGGTCAAAGTCCTGGTATATCGACAGTACATTTAAAGTCTGTCGGCATCCCTTCATGCAGCTGCTGTCCATCAACGCCTTCGTGAGAAAAGACCATGTCAGGCAAGTACCTCTCCTATTGGTGCTGATGTCGGCTCACAAGAAATGAGACTACGTTGAGGTAAGAATTCCAATCTTCATTTCATGAGATCGTACGAAAGCTGAATTTATTACTTGTTCCATTTTGCAAAAGCCAGAACAATTTAAGACCCTTAATGCCTCAAGGGCATATAGCCAAAGCGATGCTAAGTTCCCATCGTTATTTTTTTTGAAAAGCCTAAACATTGATGTTAAGTTCCCGTCGACATAGGATAGAGAGGTGTTCATGCATATATGCTGTATTATTAAACACAATTTTATTCCAGGTACGAATCCATGCGCGTGCCAAAAACCTTCGTTTAAGCAAACAAGAAGTAGCAATTTGTATTTGTTTCCCTATCTAGGTTCAAGAGCTGGGTCTTCAGGCAGCCTTTTTAAACGATCGGGGGACCCACGCCCTTCTAAAAAAGATGATGGCCTTGCCATATTTACCAGAAGATGAGTTAGGTCCAATGATCAGACAACTAGAGAGAGATGCGTCGACCTCAGAGCTCACCAACCTAGCCCAGTACATGAAGAGCACATGGATCAACAAGACAACAAATTGGGCGCCGTAGTAGTGGTCAGCATTTATGGAATCAACCGCAGTAACAACGACGAAGAGGGCTGGCATTTCCGACTGAACAGACAGGCCTCTGGCAAGTCACAGTTATCATCTTATATCTTGGTAAAACTGTTACACAAGGAAGCTCGTCTCACTTAAGTACAAATTGGCCTCGAATCAGAGAAGAAACTTCGTAGGATTCAGAGAAATAAGTATATGAAACTGCACACTAAGTTGTTCAGTCTATGGGATGAATTTAATCAATGCCAAAGAAATGCAAAGCAGCTTCTCAAGGCATGTTCTCATTTAACTGGTCCAGTTATGTAATTAATTAAAATAATCATAGGTATAATATTTTGAATCGTGTAAAATTTGTAAACAGTAGCTTATTTAGATAATTGCACACTTAGCTTTGCGAACTTAACAAGAGCTACTTTTAGTGATTTTATGTAATTAATGTAACACCCTATGTTGTTTAGGGACGGGAGCCATTTAGACGTCCCACACGTCCCCGCGTGTAAAAACGATAATAAGTTAAAATATCAGAATTGCGAAACAGCTTAAGTAGATTTTAAGGAAGAATAACGTTCGCTATCCAGTACCCACGGCAGTCAGACACTTTTACAGATGTAAAGGAAATGCTTTGACTTAGCCTCTCAAAAGTGTCCTATCTTTGTTCAGATTTGCCATGCAATTGGGAAAAGGATAGTGGCTTCTCAGCTAACTAGTTTGGCTTGTGTTGGCTCAGAATAAAATCGCCTCATTGCGACACATAAAAATTTTAGTTGCTGCTAGTAAGAAATGCCCGGCAGTCTGAAAATTCAAGACAAAACCACTAAAGGTATTCTAACAGATTCTAAATATCGTTAGCTCGCAACTGACTTGAATAAAGTTAGCCAAGCAACTATTTTTCGCCCCAATCTGGTGCTGTTTGAATTAAGTTTGTCGAGCAACTATTGTTTGCTACAATTTAGCCCTGTTTTCGACTCACAGGCATGATTCCCGATAGCCAGCATGGCAGGTATCGTCCCTTTCTCTTCCCATTCAACCCCTTCCAGGTAGGACTGGGGCTCCTTCGAGTATTTGCCTCTATGCTATCATAAGAATTCATTTTAATTAATTCTTGCGGGGAGATGAACACCGTAAAGGGATTCACACTTGGATAAACTGAGTTTTAGCCGCAAACGGAGGGGTTATGTGGGAAAAGCTCAAAGCTCAATGACTCTCAGTTGCGCCAATTTCTAATGGCAGAGCTGGAAAAATTCCACAGCAAAGGCATGCGGAAAAAGAAAGCAGCCTTCAACATTGGAAAGCAGCGTGACAGCAATGTCTACGTTTTTAACAGTAGTTTACAGGTATATAACATTAATAATAATAATAACAATAATAATAATAATAATAAATGTCTTTATTTCGCCCGTTCAAATACAAAACAAACATTACAGAGAGTGAAGTATACAAATCATGAAAATCGCACAGATCATTTACAATTATTGTATAAAACCTGATAAAACATTGGGTATCTATATCGTTAAATTGCTAAGTTGTATTGAAACCTTATTCTATTAAAGTAGCAATTCTTAAGACGTTCGGTATTAATCCGTTGTAATTGACTTGCTTGTGATCTTAACCTCTTGGATGACTCTTTGACTTTCGGCAAAAAGGCATATAACGGATGGTTAACATTGTTCTTAATTTTAATGAATAAACTGCGGTCACACTTTTCTAAAAGGTCATAGATATTAATTAACTCAGAAGTGTAACGTCTCTTATTGCACCTTTTCAAAAAACACTGTATGGTGTTTAAATCCACCTCGCTGGCTTCATAGACTGGAAGTGCGTATGTGATCCTTGGGAGAACAATAGCCTTAAAGAGGTGATCTATCTCTACATGGGTGTATCCATCTTTTCTTTGTGATCTTAAAATGTACAAACCCTTGTTTGCTTCCCGAAGCTTTCCCTTCACATGAGATGAAAACTTACAGTCGTTTTGTAATGTGACACCTAATAGAGTAAGACTGACGCTCTGTTGTATGCCACATAGTGGGGGAAAGTTAGGTTTGACACCTTTTTTAGCGATTCAGAGTTCTTTGCATTTGCTTGTATTACAGCTCATACCATTAACCTCTGTCCACTCTAAAAAGCATTCAGTACCTTTTGTGATTCATGTACACTATTTGTACACACAGTCACAAGAATAGAAGAGTCGTCAGCATACTTAGTACGACCGCTATCTTGGCAGTACTGAGTGATGTCAAGATCGTTTTAGAACAGGTTAAACAAATACAGGCCACTGACACTTCCTTGAGTAGTACTGAGTTGACATCCTTCCAATCACCAACAGTATTATGACAGTCCACTCTTTGTTTTCGGTCCGACAAGAAGCTGACGTACCAGTTGACAATGTATGGGTTTAAAGGGCTGTGTGTCAGTTCCTCTATTAAACAGTTGCGCTTGACTCTGCCAAAGGCTTTTAAAAAATCCATCGTAAATAGCCTGACTCTTTATCGTTAACCACGACGATAACCTGACTGGTTATCGTTGCCTGCTAAAGCTTGGAGAAGCTCAAGCTGCATTTTAAGAAGCGCGTTTATAACTGCCTTCTGTTCTGTACGCAAACTGGTTATTTTTCAAGTAATTCTCCACACCTTCTTTACCACTCACACAAAAGTCCACTCACACAAAAGTCCTAGAAATTACCGATGTAACGTAGATTACCCTAAAGTCCTGAGACTGGACTGGAATGTCTACTTTGGGTAGTGGATAGACATTAGCTCGCTTCCATGCACTGGGCGACCTTTGAGTTGACAGGGATACGTTCTGGATTGCTTGTGCTGCAGGTACTGCCAATATGGCAGCGTTATCCTTCCAAACCCAGAATGGTATATAATCTGGGCTGGTAGATGTTTGCTTTGTTTTGAGCAGAGCGTAAGAAACCTGGCTCAGTGTGAGCTTTGGTGCACGAATGTTTTCTGTGATGTCCATGGGTACGGGTCTGATATAATCTTCATCGTGACATAAATTTGCAAAATAATGATTCAGTTCTCTCACA